CCTCTTTTCTTTCTTTCTTTCTCGTTTCCTTATAATAAAAAAAATCAGCCCCGTATCTTTCAATTTTTGTTTAAATTTTAGATTGTTGTTGTTGTGTGTGTGAAAACATTTTTTTTATTTTTTTAAAAATATTTTTTATTTTTTTTTTATTTTTTTGGGGGGGGGGGGGGGGGGGGGGGGGGGGGGGGGTGCTAAACACCCCCCAACAAATTTCAGTTCCGCCTCTGCCTAATATGAGCTCATAACAAGAAATCGGGAATATTTGAATCTTCACTACAATTTATACGGTAAATTAAAATAAAACAATTGACTATTATTCAACTTTAGGGTTTTCATCAACCAAACAAGCTGTCACCATGATAGCACTGATGCAAAAAAGACGTAAACTCCGTAAAACATGTACACAAGTACATGTTAGAAACAAAAAAAAGATCAATATTTCTAAACAAATGTCCGTGGTAATTGTACGAATTACCTCGCCTGTTTTTCCCCTCTCCGAAACAGCATGCGAGCTTAAGTTAGCGTTACTGGTAAATATTATACTTTACTAAAAATCGGTTAAGTGCAATTTCTTTCAAGAATGTTATCACTTAAAAGTAATTTGAAAACCAAATTATCAAATTAAATACTTATCACCTTGTTTTACTCTCAGAAATTCGACAGACATGAAGACCAAAACTGACCGAACAGCAATGTACAATAGCGCCCTCTTTCGAGCAGACACTTCTTTTATCACGAAGAATTTGGTCCATCCGAAATGAGTATAAACTGTATTATGTGTACGCGCTTAGACAGGGTCTTAAACGATTTCACCCATTCAGTTTCAAGAAAACAATTTGAAGAGCTTACGGAGGAGATACGAAAGTGTTTCCTCCGATAATATATGCAATTGATATTATCAGAACGGAAGTAACGCACATAGTGGCCCGAATTCACAAAGGAGGTTTTTCGACAAACCTTGGTTTTCGTACGTCATATGACGCGTTTTTACGCGTTTTTTTTACAGATCTGGTTTGTAAAGAATAAAAGGAGGTTTGGCGAAACAAAAGGAGGTTTGTCGACAAACCTTGGTTTGTTGACAAACCTCCTTTGTGAATTCGGGCCAGTAAGGGCATGAACCAACCTAATGGACAATGTACTAAAGGTTATTCACCGAAGTACCTGTAGGCTAGGGTGTTGCGGTGTTTCACCCAAAAGCTGACCCTGTGGCGACCCCTTGCGTCTTCACCTACGGGAAGTGACAGTGTTAAAGGGGGTGGGTGAGGGGGCACCCGCGAGTTTCCCTCAAGCGAAAAGCAAGAAAGGGAGGGAGGGAGGGAGGGAGAGAGACAGACAGAGAAGGAGAAGAAAGGCGAGGAGAAAAAAACTGATATATAGTATATAGCAGCCCCTCCCGATCTCTACAATAGGTAGCCTTGTTGAATTTGCATCACCTTTTATCCATCGAGCAGAACAAGTGCTCACCTAATGATGCCAGTGCCTACCCCCTCCTCTCCAAGACTTGGCCCATGCTATGCCACTGTGTACTAGCTAGTGAGGGTAATCTTGAACAATTTTTTTACCAGAAGTAATGGAACACCTTTTCATTCAACAGAGCCTTCACTCATACATATCCATATCATTCATATCCATATCATTCATTTTGTGTGAAAATGAGAGTAATCCAAATTAACTATTTAGTCCCATTTTATCATTTTATTATTTCAAAGCGGCTTTTCAGTGGCAACTGCTTCTGTCAAACAGTTTTCAAAGGGAGGTATGTAAACGGCAACAAAGATAAATCAATCCATTCAATTTCAAATGACATAAAACTTAAAATAGACCAGTCTTTTTATGTTCGTAAAAAAGGTTGAGTTATGTGAAAGGTGAAAAATCATTTGTGAGCTTTTCATTCTTGTTTTTATGTTATTGTGGAAGAGCATTATAAAGAGAAAGAAAGTCCCTTGAAACATGTGAAAAGGATGGCGCTTCAAATGCCGAAATATATCAAGTAACACCTAACAGGGTTGGACCATAACTGTTATGCCATATGTTTGTGGAGCCTCACATTATACATCAATACATATGTGCTACACGATTAACCTTGCCAATCTTTAAGTTCAAGTAGCCTAGACATTCAAACGAAGAAAAAAAAAGAAAAAACAACAACAACAAAACATCACATTCGAAATCACTTCAATAGTCATTGTTTTCTCATCTTTCCTGGTATACATATATGATCAGTACTTTTGACCGGGCACGAAAACCCTGCGAATCGGGATGTCGGATAAAATTGTTCAACTATTCAGCCGAACATTTCCAAACGAACATAACCTTTAACAAAAACATATTAAAAAGGGGGAAAGCCCACTTCTGTTTTTCACATTTTCCGAGAAAAATTGACACATTTTATGCCGACCACCCCTAGCGACGCGCTGCTCTTGAGGTTTGTATTTTCATTACTGTCCTTTTATGTTTCATTCCTGTTATTTTCCTTTTTTTCTTTTGTGATAGTTTCAATAAGAAGTTGAAGAAAAAGAAGTTGTGATTAGAATTGATGTGGCCTTTTCTTGACTCAGCTTCTCATACAGTCACTATGAACATGACTGACAATGGAAGCGGACAAAATATACAGTTCCTCAGGTAGACAAAGGAACATCCCTTCACTGCTATTATGTAAAAATATGTAGAACAGGTGTCACATGCATATTCACCTTTTTACATAATAGCAGTGAAGGGATGTTCCTTTGTCTACCTGAGGAACTGTATATTTTGTCCGCTTTCATTGTCAGTCATGTTCATAGTGAGTGTATCATTGCCGGATTTGAATTGAGTTTATCAAGTCATTAATCACATGGTATCACCGAAACAACATTATACACTCGCGGTTATCTCTGCGTAAAGTTTTCAGCACATGAAACTGTGTGTTTGATTTATAGGCTGCAGCAAGTCTCATTCGTGGTGCTATTTCGGCACATCCGTTAGTTTGTGGGCGGAACCAAGTTTCGTTGTTAACGAATGGGATCGCGCGTTTGTGGTCACGCGGTCTGAGGATACGTGCACCAGCTGTTATACGCACACACAATCGAGCCAATACACGGACGAGCAAGCAATTCAACACCAAACACACTCTGCGTTGTGTTCGTCTACCGTGGATGTTGAACTATTCCTCCGAGTGCGCCGTGGCGTGGGGTGGGCATTTGGCGATGAGTAGTTTTAAACACTGGTCTTATAGTAGCAAGGTGGACAATATAAGAACTCGCCATCAGACAAGACACTCATTATATGATTGCATTGCAGAATGATGCAGATCGTGACAGATTGCACATCCAAGAGTGAATGGATTGACAAACATTGCTTTTGCCGTACTTCGAGTCGATTGCTTGCTCTCCGATTTTCTTTCTTTGTGGAAGGGTCGTTCATCGTTGTCCCATCCATTGACAGAGAGGTGACTTATTCCTCTCTCTCAAAGACTTATAGCGGATAAGGAAATCAGAAACTCTGTTTCCTGTTATCAGCCAGCAGAAGTCAGTACAAACTACAACAGGAAAGGAGTAAAGCTATTCGCTCCGCAGATGAGCCATGCATGTAAAACCACCGATTAACTACATATGACATTTATACAAACCGGAGACGAGTCAGTGGTAATTTGTGTCAACCGGAATGGCTGGGACTAAATGAACATTGACTAGCGGGACTGCACGCAGCATCTGTGCAGATTTTCAGTCCATTTGCAGTTTGATGATGTCACTATCGATAGGAGCCGTCCAATTGATTGTTGAGGAAACATAAACTTCAAGCTACAGATTGGCCTATGAGTGTATAGTTGTGACTGCTGCACAAACTGATTTATTATCGTACCTGGACAGAATGCTCCACGTCTCTACACAGAAATTCGATGTCAGTTTGGATGAGAGTTTACGTTACTTCCAATTGAATTTGTGATCATTTTCAACTACTCTGAGAGCTCTTGCCTTTTCAGCAACCAATTCAGGTAAAAAAATCAGAGGAGGAAAAGCCCTCATTCTCCAATAGACAATTACCAAGAGCGGATATTTAACGTCGCTTAGCCTGCTGACACCGAGAAGAGGTGATACCACGGGGCCCCAGCGGCTTACAGGCCAGCCGACTAGAACTACCGAGACGTGCTCATGAATTTCTGAATGGTATTTAATTCACAACACGCGTTGGAAAAAAGAAAACAACGATGACATTACAGCTTGCTTGCCGATTCATTTTGACGCTTGAGGCCTGAATGAGTGTATTTTCTTTCGCAACTGCGATGTTTGTATGAATGGTATATTATAATAAAAACATAGATAACATCTGAACACCGGATCTCGCTTCCTGCTTTATTTGACGGACAAGGGGACGGAGAGACATCTTCAGACATTCAATCGATTGTGTTTGGTTGCAAGGGGATTCAAAGACACTTATCACCCGGTTTGTTCACAACTCCCTTAAACTCGGCACTTGTCTGTCGTGAACTTTGCGCAATCAATTACTGGAGAAAGCGCCGTGAGACCGGCCTGTCAATGCTTTAATCTGACACTTCAATCGAAATTAACAGGCAAGCGCCTGTAAAAAGCGGTCAATCCATGCACCAGAGACTGTCTTTTGTATCACATCCGATCTGCTCTCCTCTCTACAACAGAAATGCTTCTTTGCCGTATCGTGTTATCTAGAGCAATTCAGTAAATCGATCAGAGAAAGTTCTCTGGAAAATTAGCACGGGTTACATGTACTACTTGCGACAGAACATGATCGCCGAATGATGGCGAGCGATGAGAAGTGATTGATTCTGACAACAATTAATCGCCAAGAACCTCTTAGAGGCATCTCAAGCTACGACTCATCCCTCATCGGAATAAATCCGTGCAAACAGGACCACGCAACTACAAACATGTTTAGCGTTCTCAGCGAGGATGACAAGTATGGCACAATTTTAACCTACTTTTAAAAATAAGGCATCATTTTTTTGAGTGTTTTTTTAAATTTACACTCGTCTGCACAGACGGGTGTTAATTACTACACGACCGTGGAATCGAAGGTATATTGATTTAGGAGTTTTTACCGGCTTGTATCACACGGACGCTTACACCGATTTAATTCCCAAACATTATCGTGTACACACAACTTGAAAACTCAGACTGACATGTATTACTATCAACGTTGATTTGACAGCCTGGTGATACGACTGGTTGTACCGTTTCTGCTTCTGCTAACATGTTTTCAAGGTGAAGTGGGCACGCACGCAGGAAATTAAGCAGCACGTTTGCTTTGAAATTGTTAATCACTTTGAAATTGCAGATGCACCCATCAATGGACACGTAAACAAGTACAGCAGCCGGGACGACGTCTAACGGCGCCTTTTTTATGGTCATAGTTAGAGTGGTTAAAGGTACAAACTGTGACATACTTCAAGTTGGGGAAAAAGTATCAAAATGAGTGCGGCGAAATACTCCCCGCCTCTTGACTATGAAACTTCTTCTGAAGCTAGCAGCTTCTTCGAGGCTGGCTCGTTCAATGATTCTGATAACGAGACAGGGTATGCGCCAATGAACTGTCACTTACCAGAAGCGCCAATCGCAGTGAAGGGAGTCATTGGCCTCCTCACCATCATCATCATTATCCTTGGAATCTTCGGCAATGTCCTCGTTTGTCTGGTGGTCATTCGGCGTCCTAAGATGCGAACCGTCATCAATATTTTTATTTGCAATCTCGCCATTTCGGACCTGATATATGCTGTCTTAGGATTCCCTATGAACATCACGGCGTATTTGAGCTTCGTGTGGGTACTGCCTAGCTTCCTGTGCAAGGTTTCAGCTTATGTTCCCGCCGTGATGAGTTTTGTGTCGACGCTCACGTTATCCGCCATCGCAGTTGATCGCTTCTGTCTCGTGGTCTATCCACTCCTCAAGCCCATCAACAAGACAAGATGTTACATAGCGCTGGCTATCATTTGGTTGATGAGTACAAGCCTTACCTTACCTATTCCAATCTTTACCGATATTGAAGATTATAGTTTCTATTTTGGGCAAAAAGTTGTAATATGCCAAGAAACTTGGCCCAAAGGTCACGATCGAAAGCGCTACAGCATTGCCATGTTTCTTATCCAGTTCTTTTATCCCTTGTTACTAGTATCAATCGCCCACACGTGTATATCTGTAAAGTTGAGTCGAAACGTGCGACCGGGAATGCGTGGCCGGGATAGTGAAGTTCGGGAGAATCATCGCCGGCAACGAATGAATCGCATGTTATCAGCAGTAGTCATTGTATTTGTAATGTGCTGGTCACCATTCAATATCTTTCTTCTCCTACATGAATTTGGAGTAGCTGTTCCATGCATATGGATGATGATCTCCCAATTAATCGCAGGGAGCAGCATCATCGTGAATCCCATTCTTTACGCCTGGTTGAATGATAATTTCCGGAAGGAATTCCATCGCTTGTTGCCTTTCCTCACGTGTTTAGAGGACGCTATGTCAGTGGTATCTAACAAGAGCACGACAGGGGCGGTGTCAGGATCAAACATCAATGGAAACATCAAACGTAAGGAGAGGCCCACAGGAGCTACGTACCTTCAGCCCACCGCGGCAGAGAGTACCGTATCAGGAGCTACTCCAATACTCAACACTCGTAAACTTGCTGTAGAGGATACGACGATGTAACCCGTCACATTGCTTATTTCTGCTAGGAAAGGACTAGCCCTTGGAACATGAATAAGACTGAACGATTTCAGTGGACGAATCTATAAGAAAAAAAAATGTCGAACGTTTCATTGAAACAGTGTTAATCTTTGTCACAGAAGTGACGATGTCTCCTAAACTATTTTCTTCCTCATGCAGTACACGTAATCAGAAGTGCAAATGTGAATGCAGATGTGTCCTTCTCACCTCCTTGGTGTCGCAGAATAGGACCTGAGAAACGGATAAGATCAAAATTGAGACGCAATAATGTGTCCTTGTATAGCGATTGCTTCCAGCACACTGAACGTGAGGAAATTCTGTAAATCAGGACTCAGCGGGCATGAGACACTTCGTGAAAATAAAATTAACAACTGTTAACTTGGAAATGTCGACAACGGTCAATGACGACGAATCGTAGTACTCTATCTCTTTCTCTGAAAAATGGCAACAAAGAACACGCACCTGCCCTCTAAGAAATTTGAAGAAAGAAAAATCGCTGAGCAACGAGCAGACGCAACATGCAACATCAGCAAAATCGTTAAATGTCATTTTTTTTTGTCATAACATTTTTTGAAATCATCTAAGTAATTTTGTTTTAATGAACTTCATGAGTATCAGTACATTTTCCTAGATTAATTTCCTCTCTTTGGTATTTTGTGTTGTTATTTTTTTTAAAAAGAGAATCGATTGCCTTGCTGAAGAAAGAGTATTTACATTTCATTGTTCCGACCTTATCATGTACATCACCTATTTCTCAAGAAAATTGGCCCAAAAGGAAGATATCTGTGCAAGCCATATACGCTTGCACGATCTCTGAGATTCCTGTGTTATGACAGAGTTGATATGGTATTGCTTTAAAGCTCACCAACCACCAAACCTGTTTTGCTCTTGATGTAAGGGGTTCCATTTCGCTTTCCTGTATTCAAACAATGAGAAGAGTGATTACAGAAACACGATCGCAAGTAATTTTGAAAAATCGACTCGAGGGCAATGTTAATATCCATTGTTTTTCCCATTGCAATTATGTACGAAATTACGTAATACGTGATTGTCATGTTCACACACATTCAAAAGGTAATGCTGAAGGATATCAAAATTGCCTTGGGTTCGATATTTCGAAAGTAGTTTCGATCGTGTTCAGTCTAAATACACTCCCAATGAACTGTAAACGTAAGAGATTGTTGAGCAGACAACTTAACGCACGCAAACGCACTCGCATAGAATATGGCGCGCATGGGACCCAAATCCGACTTGGGTTCCTTGTGCGCCCTATACGCAGGGTTTTTATGTATTCTCTATTTTCGTCATACTCCTTAACCATTTACAAAAAGAATGATAAATCTATTTCATGAGGTCAATTTAATTCAGTTGACCTGCACACAATTTCTTCCTTTTCAAGTGACTGGTAGACTTCAATTACCATATTTGCTCATAAGATGTATAAATGTTATAATACATGTCAATGAGCTAAAAAAAAAAAAAAATTGTTCTGTTATATAACTGAAAGTATTATTCGCATTGTGTCTTACTGATGTGCTATATGCCACAATCAAAATGTATGAGTTTACCTTTTTGTTCTAAGCCCTATGTTTATTCATTCCATGAAATGGTCTTTATTGTGGTTACGACGGACATGCTTCGCAATTAAAGGGATGAATAGTTTCCCGATTTCCTCTCATTACATATCTATAGTGGCCGTTAATGCAAAGCGATATGAAAAAAAGAAATATTTGAAAAATTCAGTCATAAATAGCCATAATTTTATAATGATGTTAATTACAACATAATCTTATTAAGATAGAATTAGAATGATCGTAATAAAAAGAGTATGACATGCGAAATATTTTAAAGTGCATTGGTATAAAACTATATTGAGGTATGTTGCAACCACTTTTTTTTGTACAGCCTATGCGTAGAATGGCGGGTCCTTTATGGTGTCACGTGATGGGGAGTGCAATATCGTCTTCTTGCCTAAAACTTTCAAATATTCATTTGTGACCATTTACGAGTATAATCTCGTTGTTCAAGAAACAGAAATGTCATGTTTTAACGATTCCTTAATTTGCCGACAAAGCTGGAGAAGGTTCATGCATCTTGAAATGTATTGATACATTTTTCCTTCCCGCACCACACAGACACAACAAATTAATTGCTGAAAAATACATAACCCAAATTTAGAAGAAAAAAAAAATCCAAAGTACTATTGACTCTTTACGATAAATCTTAAGTTAATAGATTCACAGAATTAAAATCGAATTTATAGATAACCGTATAAGCTCTTAACCGTTTGAATAAAGATTGAACAGCAAGGTTTGGTCAAATAGAAAATGTTGTGTCGATGAAGAACTTCTCAATTGTATATCTCTGCGTTCGATGGTTAAACGGAATGGAGTAATTCCTTGAAAATCATACGTATCACAAGATATTCAATTTCATGTCGATCCTTTCCATTGTACACGTGCTCTACCTATGCCGCACCGATTTTTATAATAATTTACAAATAAAATCATCCGCATCGGCTTAGTTTTTCGATTTACTATTGAATTCGATTTCTACAATGTTTCCCTTATGAGTCAGGTCATATTAAATAGCCTATTGGGTTTGTACATGTATGTGTGCCAAACCATTACACCCTTTATTGTAGTGTAAATAATGTAAGCGAAGAGTAAATTGTTTTCAACAACAAGTAGTTCACCCTACTCGGGGGCGTCAACATTTTATTGCATGTAAAGGTTGTCGTACTGGCACTACCATGACATGGCATTAAAATGGGTACAATTATTGTCAAAAGTCATAACAGTTAGACATATTTAACCTACTTCACTCATTTTGTGGTACAAATAGATGAAATTCTGTAGCAAAACTGATAAATTTCAATTCAAACCGTAATCTAAAATTGAGCAAGGAATTCCAGGTTTGGGTTATTTTTATTTTTATTTTTTATTTTTACTTTGTCATATCTGAACAAGCCTTTAGCGTTCAATACATTAATAGACTAGTGGAAACTTACTTCATTTTTCATAACTACTGACAATCTAGAACCAACAAAAACTGAAAACGAATTCGGGCAAGCATTAAAAGCATCTAATAATAGCAAAGAGGCGATGCATTCCCCTTTCATTGTTTGACTCGGCCATTAATACTATTTATTTATTTCTGAGTATATATATATTGAGTATATATGTTGTACCAACTGGGAATTGTGCCGACTGATACTCGTATTTCAAACACAATCATTATGAATTTACCTGCAAATAATTATTTGAGATTTGAACCTGCAAACCCTGTCGCATCATGTATACATTCTTAGCATGTTAGGGTAGTGCTAATTAAAAGGTATGTGTACAAGCTCAAACTTGGCTTTTTTTTTGGTTTTGTACAGAACAGATTCAGTCGTAGTAGAGTAAGTGATAAAATAATATCAACGAATCGGTCTAAATCATTGGTAAAGATTCTAAAGCAAGATCGCCTTTTCTATTCTGTATATCGTTTTTCCCGTAATATTTCGTGTCTTGTGTTTTACACATTAATTTATGAAACCTTTGTTCCCTTTTCGTAGAAAATCTTATTCTTTAGGGTTTAGACCGTATCTTTATTCATTTTTTTCTTCAAAAAAGTTGGTCTAAAGAAAGATTTCTTTAAATGACAATAAATAAAAATTCTTCTCTGAAAGGCTATAATTTTATCTACATTTAGGAAGTGGACTGTACTTTTCGACAGTAACAAAAATGTAACATATGATTATCTTCTCATTCTCCCTCCGCTAAGGATATAATTAAATTTACTGCTGATAAAGGGTAGGTAGCATCTGCAAAGTGTAAAGGCTACATAAAGTTACTCAATGAAAGACCTTGAAGTTTATGCACTTCTCTCTCATGATGTAATGCAGTTACCACAAATGTAATTATGAATAACGGGTATGCCACGCATTTGTTGATACACCACTATTTAGTTCTAGTCCTCCCTCCTGAACGATGGGTATATTATGATTCTTTTCTTTCTCGAAAGGATTTTGCTGTTTCTGTTATAAAACACATTTTTATCCTGGAAAACGTGATGCTAAAAGTTTATGAGAAACATTTGTATCATTACATGTTTATACTTCATATCACGTTTTGTGGGAGGTTGTAAATATTGAGAAATATCATATCTGTTATTGTTTCAGTTTCTTTGGCATTCAAACGTGAGTTCATTGTTGCATAGAAAAGAAACGATTGTTATCATCTTAACGATTAAAAGATGCGTGTATCTAAAAAGTGGAAAATGGGGAAATTGTGTTCGCATTGATTTTTGAGCTTATTGTCTGGACTAGCCTGTGTATTGTATAAAACTAAAGAGGCGGTGCAGGTGAAATTGAAAAGTGTAATTCTGAGAAATAATGTGAAATAATAAATAAAAATGAAAATGCCAATTAGAGTTACTCTCAATATTGGGTAAATGGAAACATTCATTTGTGTTTGGTAAAATTTCACCGAAAAGTGTAATACTGAGATTTAATGTGATAGAATAAATCAATATAAGAATGGCAACTACAGTTACTTTCAATATGGGGTAAAAGGTCACATGCATGTGTGTTTGGTAAAATTTCCCTCAATATTTGGGGTTTTAACCAATATCGTGTACATCAGCACTTGTGCACGTCCCAGTATTTTAATGTTGCGGGCGTGAAACCAAAAGCGACCATGTGTTGTAAGTGTATTATGCAGAGAACATGGAGTTTTAGAAAGAAGGACAACAATATAACATTTCAAGAAAAGAAATTGTTGCAAAGGGATATAAGATAAGCATGTAAACAGACACCCACAAAGGCCACATTAACTATTTCTAATGGAACGAAAGTAGTGCAATGGCAAGATATTACTGAGTATATCTTTTAACAATAATTTAAAAAATAAGGAAGAGGGAAGATGGCAAGATCTAAACTATCCACCATAACAAGACTATGAACTATACTGGTTGATGTAAAGGGCCTGCCCCCCCCCCCCTCAAGCAAAGAAAGAAAAGATGGAAAGAAAATCAGGGGGGGGGGGAAGAGAATTTGTGGATGTGAGCGCGCGCTTGTGTGCGTGTGTGTGTGCGTGAGAGAAAGAAAGAGAGAGAGAGAGGCAGGAGGAAGGTGGAAAACAATATTTAAGGCGAGTTTTTGTTTTCCGTGCTACATGTACCTCAACTCGAGAGTCAACGAGATTCCCGAAATCGTATTTACCGAAAGTGTGTGTGTGTGTGTGTGGGGGGGGGGGGGGGGT